TTCTAAATTGTTCTTTGTTCTCATATTCTCTTGTGTACTTTAATGCAGATTCCTGATCTAGACATTATATAAATGTTTTGTCATAAATTATCTTATTTTTAGGTCACCTGAGTAAACTTAGGTGACCTATTGCTATCTGTTGTTGTCAGTCATCGTGCGTTAACATTTGAACATTTTCAGCTTCTTCTCTGAAACCGCTCAACCAATTCAACCAATTTTGGCACAAGGCATCTATGGGTGAAGGGGAACAAAAATTGTGAATTTCATGATCCCTGCCCCCTTTGGGCCTGAGGGGTGGGGCCAAAACCACTAAAATTAGTGCAATCTTTAAAAATCTTCTTCTATGCTCCTGGACATCAAGCAGTCAAACTGTTGGCGTGATTGTAATTAGCATTGATTCCTGTACCAACATTGTAAAATTCATGGCCCCAGGGTCAGGAGTTCAGGCTCTAGGGTAGGGCGAAGTTTATATTGAAGTGTATGTTGAAAATGCCTAATATGTTATAAGATCTTCTTTACACACTATGGACTTCGAGGAGGTAAAATGTTTTAATGATTATGCTGAGAGCAATTAGCCCTCTACTAAAATTAGAAAATCTATGGTCTCGGGATCAGGATCTGGGTCCTATAGGGTGGGGCTATGGCTTATACTTGGGCATGTATTGAAAATGTGTAAGAAATATTTTTGTTTTGTTTGACATTTTTATGCCCCCCTTCGAAGAAGGGAGGGCTTCGAAGGGGGGCATATTTTTTTGCTGCTGTCTGGCGGTCAGTCTGTCGGTCCACTTAGTTTCCGTTCATTTTCTATGCACGTACTGAAATAAAATTTGGTATACAGATATATCACATGAATATCTAGGTCAAGTTCTGTTTTGTGTGTGATCCGCACCATTTTTTTCAGAGTTATGTCCCTTGGACTTAGAAAAAATTCAATTATTTGCAGTTTCCGTTCATTTTCTTTGCGGAGGTTGCACATACTGAGATAAAATTTGGTATACAGATTTATCAGATAAATATCTTGGTCAAGCTCTGTTTTGGATACAATCTCGCCATTTTTGACAGAGTTATGTCCTTTTGGATTTAGAAAAATTCCAATTTGGGGGGAGGGGGGCATAAGTGTTTTACAACCATCTGTTGTTAATCAATATCTTTAAGTTAAATAAACAAGAAGAAACTGATGTAATTAAAAGAAATAATAAATTAAAATATCGTAGAGTATTTAAATATATTAATATCGGGACAATGTTTTCTGCAGAACACTCACGCATGCGCATAACGAGCATTTCTCGGAAGAAGATCGCCTCCCAGATAGCAGGATGTTATTGGACCTTTGTTGGGCCAACAATGCTCCTTATGTTGGGCCACCGTATTCTTTCAACATTGGGCCATCGGTTATTTGCTCATCGGCCCTTAATCAAACCAACTTGTTGGCTTATTGTTGGGCCAATGTAACAGTTAATATTGGGCCACTGTTGGGCCAGTGTATTCTTTCAATATTGGACAAACGTCATTTTTATACAGTTGGGCCATTGTAAGCTATTTATGTTGGGCCAACGGTAGTTTGCTCATCGGCCCTTAATCAAACCAACTTGTTGGCTTATTGTTGGGCCAATGTAACAGTTAATATTGGGCCACTGTTGGGCCAGTGTATTCTTTCAATATTGGGCAAACGTCATTTTTATACAGTTGGGCCATTGTAAGCTATTTATATTGGGCCAACGGTAATTTGCTCATCGGCCCTTAATCAAACCAACTTGTTGGCTTATTGTTGGGCCAATGTAACAGTTAATATTGGGCCACTGTTGGGCCAGTGTATTCTTTCAATATTGGACAAACGTCATTTTTGTATAGTTGGGCCATTGTTAGCAATTAATGTTGGGCCAGTAGTAATTTGCTCATCGGCCCTTAATCAGACCAACTTGTTGGCTTATTGTTGGACCAATAAACGTATTATTCATTGTTGGGCCACTGATTCTTTCAATATTAGGCAATCATCATTTTTGGGCCAGCGTTGGTTTGTTTCTTATTGGCTCTCCATCAGGACAACTCATTTGCTCTTCTTTGGTTGGCCATTTGTCCTCAAAATTGAATAACAAACTATATATAATAAGGTTATACTAGTTTTGTTGTACAGTTTAATGGTAAAAGCCTTTTAAGACTATATATGCCAGATTATTAGTTTAATACATATTCACAATTTCTCAGAGAATCACCTTCAACAAGTATTGCATTGTAAGTAGCTCTACATTAATTAAAAAAAACTGAGGAAAAAGAAATCAAAATGTGAAATTAAATTATAACATAGTAGTATTTTATTGCTCAGTGCATGAAGAAAACATTAATACATGTTGGGTAACACAACTGTATAATCCCTCTCTGATGTTAATTTATGCACAGGTTCAGTAAACTGCAGGTTTCAATAAGAATGTCTAAAAAAATAAACAAAGCCCTCCTGTTCTTAAAATAATACTAAAATGAATTCCTCCATTTTGTTTACTTACACAAAAAAATGTTTCTGGCATCTGCATCGTATTTGTTACCGACAAACGGGCACAGAAAAGGGTAGAACTACATGTCACATTATATAACAGAAAGTTAGGCACTGTCACTTTTCATCTGATCCCTCTCCCATGTCTCCTCTTCTCTCTCCCGAGTCTCCTCCTTCTCCTTCTTTTCATCTCTGTCCGTTTCTTCCTCTCCCATCCCTAGGCCTGTCCTCGGCATACCTTAGCCATTCTTTAAATGTGTTTTTAGAATCTCCAGTAGCACTAAAATTGTAGTATTTGGTACTTAATACATTTGTTACTTTTCTCAGTAAAGAGAAAACATACGATTTAAATTTACAAGTATATCGACTATATGTTTAAGCTGTCAATTAAGGAATAACCGTCGTTTTTGTTTCATGGTGTGATAAGTAATCAGCCTGCATGATGAAGGCATTTATGCATAAAATTTCTACGCTTGATCATCATCATCACACCGATTTTGATTCAATGTTGCCGCATATGAATCATTATTAAAAGTAAAATACATGCATAGAAAATTTATCGGTACACTGAACAAATTTTAAATGAAAGAACCAATTTATGTTTTAGTATTGAATAAATTTTGTTTTAACTTAAATATGTTTGATCATGTGCTCGATGTTAAGTGAATATAAGTAAAATGAGTGGTAGATTTCGGAAATTTATTCCACGGAACACAAATTTAAATCCAAACTAGTGCTAATTGTAACGGGGACCGTTACAGATGTTCCCCAAATGCTTCCCAACTCCTTTTTGGTGCCATATTCCCTGTAAGCTTCATTAAATAAGACAAACTCTGTGCATTTTTGACTTTAACAACGTTCTCTCAGAAGGATACCAATTATATTCAAATTTTAGCATTGTACCCGTGCGCATGTGAATGCATGTGCGTTATGATCATATCATCTTGTCTACAATATCTACATATCTTAATATACAATATATTAAAGCATTCAGTCCAAAAGTATGAAAAATCACTCTTTCAAACGTATTTTTCATTTCACTCGTTCCAAATGCACGCACGTGCGTGCACGTGCATGATGACCATACCTTCTTGTAGAAGTCCCTTATATCTATCTATATTCTAAATCCCATCCTGTTTGGTTGAAAAACAAGGGAGTTATAGCCATTTCAAGTTTAAGCCAATCAGATTGCAGCACACGTGCATGCGCGTGATTTCATGATTTTTTTCCTACATCATATTGTAGTATATCCTAATGCATGACTATGTTTTAAATTTCAAAGCATTTCGTCAAAAAACAAAGGAGATATAGCCATTTAAAGTTTCAGCCAATCAGATTGCAGCACGCGGGCATGCACATGCTTTCATGAAAATTCTTAAATATCACGCTGTAGATCTTCATAATGTAGGTTTATCTTCAAAATTTCAAAGGATTATGACAAGAAACAAGAAAGATATTGAGACTTTAGTTTCAGCCAATCAGAGCGAAGCGCACGTTCATGCGCGTGAGATCTTACTTTTTTGACCATGTCATTTTGTCTATCCTTTTAATATATACTTATTATATGAATTTCAAAGCATTTCATCAATAATTTAAATAGTTACGCCTGTATCAATTATATTGGACATTTCTCGTGTTGCACGTGCGAGCTCTTGCAAGCACATGTGCATGCACATGCTTTCATGATAAATCTTATATTACAGGCTGTAGATCTCCCTAATGTATGACTATGTTCAAAATTTCAAATGATTTTATCAAAAAACAAAAAAGATATTGAGACTTTAGTTTCAGCCAATCAAAGCAAAGTGCACGTGCATGCGCGTGCGATCTTGCTATTTTAACCATGCTATCTTGTCTATACTACTAATGTATCCTTACATTATAAGTTTCAAAACATTTCGTCACAAAATAGAAAAGTTACGGTTATATCCATTATATATTGGTCATTTTAAGTTTTGCACGTGCGCGCTCTTGCAAGCACGTGCGCGCAAAATGACCTTGATTCCGCAAATCTACATAACATGCCTACTTACCCTAAAAAGGTTTCACCTAAGTCGGATGTGTAGTTTACAAGATCACTCGCGGAAAAGATTTTCCCAGGAAGAAAAATAATAATAATAAGAATAATAATAATAAGAAACAGAGTAAAAACAATATGTTCCCCAACTTCGTTTGGGGAACATAATAATAATAAGAAACAGAGTAAAAACAATATGTTCCCCAACTTCGTTTGGGGAACATAATAATAAGAAACAGAGTAAAAACAATATGTTCCCAAACTTCGTTTGGGGAACATAATTAATAAAAGTCACTCATTCAAGAGTATTTTTAAATATACTCGTTTCAAATGCACGCACGTGCGTGCACGTGCATGATGATCATACCTTCTTGTAGGAGTCCCTTACATCTATCTATGTTCTAAATCCCATCCTGTTTGGTTGAAAAACAAGGGAGTTATAGCCATTTAAAGTTTCAGCCAATCAGATTGCAGCACACGTGCATGCGCGTAATT